CATTTGATAGTCCAGGGATACTGATTGCTGACTTCAAGCTCATCTTGCAAGGCCAAGAGCGAATAACTGTCGCTAGTGAAGGCGTCTCGGATTTGCAAAGGATCTTAGATACGTTACTTATGCAATGACTGGAGAATTCGAGCTCAGAAGGTCATTGTAGAATTTTAAATCATGTATGGATGGATGTCAGCCTTTCCTCAGCTTTACATAATCATAGGTTGATGAGCGACGGAGGCTGTGAGGTTTGTCAGCTGATTAAGGCTGGCCAGTTATGAAAAGTGAACACCACAAGTTATCGTGTAAGCGAACTTACGCCAAGAGGCCAAATCTTGAGTAGCAGATGCGTTTGCCCGATTAGCCGAATCACTCATAGAAAGATTCATTGAGCCCACGCCCCGATGTGACCTTTGGGCAGGCTAAAGATATTTCAGCGAACAACAAGATTCCAACAGAAGGCAGCTGCTCTACTATGGAGGCACGTTTGGGCCAAGCGGACCATACATGTCCTTGTGACTAAGCTCCACGCCAAGAAAGCGGAATCCGCTGTACGAGTGGATATGGGTCTTGAAGGTGATCTTTGCAGACGTCAAGCTCCATCTTCATGTGCTCCATACGGAGTACCTGAAACTTGTAGTGCTACTGGGACATGTTTGCAGCACGTTGTACTAGGCCACAGGCCAACCACCCAGGCTTACCAAACACTCGGGAGTTCGAGTTAGTCGTGTTTTCGATGCCAGCTCAAAGCTTGGCAGATCGAGAGCTTGCTCGACAAGATGAATGGTTTCACTTGTTGATAATGCATAGACCGTAAGACAAGCGCCCTGTGCAACCAAGGACGGATTCTAGAGGTATGAAGATGAATTTTGGCCCTCGAATACTTCGTCCTGTATTCCAGATTGCGTTGCCCGTCAGGACTTCACCATTACCGAAATGCGGCAGGAACAGAGCGAAAAGGCATCAAATTATGCAAGTTGTGAAGGCGCTCGTACTCGTTGGCAAAGCAGATGTCTGTAGTTTCGACTTTACCTGTACTCTTTTGATGTTCTACGAAGATCCCTTCCTGCTCAAATACTATCGCTGTTTGGTGAGGAGGAAATGAAGAAGCATATGCAAGCGAGGACGCCATTACCATATGACCCAACAAGGCATACTCTGAGCTCCGAAAAGCAAAGTAGATATGTAGCATATGTTGCGATACTTGAATTGTATCTACTCGCTACGAAACAAAGCACAATACACGCGTGGCAGATAACCGTGAGATTGCGCATGTGCTCAACGTGACCGTGCTTGGGTGGTTCGTCATTCGTATGCCTGGGCCAATTCAAGGCTGCGCCTCCAGTCCAACATCTTGAGCTGTCCAATCTCCTGTTTGTTATCAGATCTTCATCTTGCGTACTACTTCAGCTCACATTATTCTAGCATTTTGGGGCTCATCGACGAACAATGGCTTGGAGGGTAGCAAGAGCCGCAATTGTGATTGCCAGCAGGTTTTCGACAATGACGAAGGGTTCCAGTCGGAGATAAAGGCGGGATTGATATCAAGGGACGCCAGCTTGCTGATTGAAGATGGACAAGTAGCAGCCCAGATTCGACACCAAAGAGCAACATTAGGAATGCCAGCCCGAAGCAAGATGGCCGTATGAAGCCATGAGTCAAGAGTGAACAGCAGCCACACTGTTCTGTAACTTTAAACGCGGTTAAGCTCGGGCCCAGAATCTAGAACGGGAACAGTGCCTGAATGAACTGCTCATTTCAAAAATATGCATAGCATCCACACATGATCACCTTGTCAATAGGCAAACTTGAATAAACCTAAATTGTCATCTACGCAAGTGCCATGCGGGCCTTATAGAACAACCCAAAAACGATCCATTTTCTGTATCCATGAATATCTCGGACCGAAGAGTGCTGTGTCGTAATGATCTTGCTAGATGCTGGTCATGCAGTTGTCTTAAGGATGGCTCTGATCAAACATTGTATTGCCTTTGGGATGATGGCATTCTTTCCAAGGATTGTTGCCACATTGGTGTGAATCGATAAGACGATCTACTTTGTGCAACTGTGATTATTTCCCCTTTCCGATTTATTGTCCGGTGTACCCCACGAATAAAATTCATGAAACCTGCACTTCCCCTTCCACCAAGCGCCTCTAGTAGGTCTAGCCATTCCTGCATTAGATGCTCCGAACGAAAAGTCAGGTGTGACCGACAAAAGCCATGTAATGCTTGCATCAAACACAAGGTACAATGCGTCTTCCGACCTTCCCAACTGGCTCAAAAGAGACACCGTCACGCTACAGCTGATCGACTTCGCAACCGGCTGAAACGCGACGAAGTAAATCTTCAAGAGCAGGGCGTTGAACCAGATCAATTGCCTAGTGCTTCTGAAAATGAGCGGTACCGCAATCCAGATCACGTAGAAGCTACGGTAGCAGAGCGTGGCTCTCAGCTGCCGACACCCTCATCCATCACTTTCGAGTCTGAAAGATTCATCACGAAAACACAATTGCTTCATGACCGAGAACGCTCGAAGTTCGTCGATAAGTAGGTCTCTTCATGGTATTCACCGCGCTCATACTGACCAAAATATAGTGGCTTGTGGTCAAGAGTAGTGGAGGAGGTGTGCCACCTCAATTCCTGCAATCAAATGCTTTAATGGATTGTCGAGACACGTTCGCTAATCATGTTACCAGTTACGCCATCCCAAGGAAGCTCTAGAAGAATCGCATGAAGTCAGTGATGTAGGAGCATCCGATGATGAGTTCAATCTCGTCCTAGGCGTGATATCGAAGCCTGACTCCAGATATCCGTCTCCATCAGCTGAACATATTCACGACTTATGGCAAATCTTCGTTGACAACGTCGATCCTCTCACGAAGGTCGTACACGTGCCTACGTTACACCGGGCGCTACAAGAGGCAACGACTAACATTGAACGCGTATCAAGAGGGTTCGAAGCACTAATGTACGCGATTTATAGCGCGGCTGTGATGTCGTTGAGGGATGATGACTGTGAACGAAGATTTGGTGAGCCCCGCAAGCTTCTCCTGTCGCACTATACAACAGCCACCAAAGTAGCACTATCGCGAGCTAAGTTCATGGAAACTAGCAGCATCATCGTCCTGCAAGCATTAGTACTTCATGTAATCTCCGTGCGAGACTTCTACCAGCCGCGCGCTGTGTGGACGCTGACAGGAGTTGCATTGCGTATTGCCGAAGGTATGGGTTTGCATCGTGATGGGACATCCTTAGGGCTGCCTCCGTTCGAGACCGAGATTCGTCGACGCATCTGGTGGTTATTGAAGATGCACGATATCCGTACAGCGGATCTGACTGGTTTACCCAAGTTTCGAAACTTGGACGTTGATAACCACACACCTAAGCTGCCAGCATATATCAATGACCACGAGCTCTATGTAGGTATGCCTTCACCACCAATAGAGTCGACTAGACCGACGGACATGATATTCTGTGTTCTTAGAACGGAGCTAATAGCAACACACGCTGCGAAATTCCGCAAACAAGGCAATGACAACTGGATATGGGACGGCCATGCCTCAGAAGATGATATGCTCCAAAAAGAAGAAGCAATGAGAGAAGTCGAAGATATTCTCGAAACAAAGTATCTCCGCTACTGCGACCCTTCTCAGCCTCTTCAACTGATGGCCCTTCTCCACACTCGCTCGGCCATGAATGTTGGCCGTTTCATCACACATCATCCCCGGCGCTGGGTCAACGCGTCGCAAACTCCGGAATCTGAGCGGCAGTACGTATGGCACATTAGCATCAACCTCCTCGAGCAGTACGATATGATGCAATCAAACCTCAAGATCAGCCGCTTCGCATGGCATGCGGCCTATTTCCTGCCGTGGCACGCGTTTATCCACGTGCTTGATGCTCTACGTGCTAAGCCGCTCATGGTAGATGCGGTGAAGGCGTGGCAGCTCATCGAGGTCACTTACGATAACAATCCGGATATGTTGTCCAACGTGAGAAAGATTATTTATGTAGCTGTGGGAAATCTCTGCTTGAAGGCTTATGATGCTCGCGAAGTTGCGCTCGGAGATAGTAGCACGCAGCATACGCCAATGTACATCACCAAGCTTCGACAGCTCCGACAAATAGTAAACACCGCTGAGATGAAAGTGCGAGATGAGAGGAACAAAAACGCTGAAGCGGAAGTCAACCCTGTCTATGACACTACTATTCCAAACATGCCAGACTTTACCACAGCCCTCGCAAGAAACAGTTTCGAACCTCACTGCCCTCAGAACAATACCTCGGCGCCATCCACGAAGGTTTCTGATCAAGCGAGTCTTTTGCCTACCGAGGGCGAAGCATTTTGGGCCACTAGCGATTTCAATGGTGATGTCCTTGTATCTGATAGCGGCACGATGAATGTGGATGTTGACTTCATGCTGAGTCAAGACCATAGCCTTGCTGACACATCTGGTCAAACTGTAGATTGGACGCAATGGGACGCTTGGCTTCGTGACTTGAATTGACCTATGGTAACTTGAACGCTGAACTGCGGGAGGGCTTGCTTAATTGGACCCATAGGCTCAGAGTTTTCTGTAAAAGATTGCAGGACAGTGACATCAGTTAGATTAATGAAATAAACCGATCGTGCTATTCGAAAGCACTGACCAAAAATCAAGATACTCGGCCAGATCTGGTTACATGCAGTCTGCAAAATCTAGATCGATGCTACAGATCTATTCATTAGTTTGTCCTCACCACATCAAACTTGTTCTCTTAAGTTAATGGTTTTCAACCAAGCTCGTGCGACAATGAGACAGATTTCACATGTTATGACTCCTTTTGAAGTACTCCACCAACATTCCGCAATGACTCACTCCCACCTCGCACCTACCTCACACCTACCTCACACCATCTCCGCCTCACCTTCCGCCTCCAATTTTTTCTGGTCCGTTGCCGTTTTCCTCCATATACTCCAATATCAAAGCTTCCTCCCAGAATCAACACATTATTCCTTCCTTGTCCGGCATAGTGTAATGGTTATCATACCTGGTTTTCATCACAAACTTGATCGGTGCCCAGGAGACCCGAGTTCAATTCTCGGTGCCGGAAACTTTTCTTTTGCTTTTTGCATTTTAGAATTAGTGCGGGCCGAGGTTCGACCTCCAGTTCGACTAGGTGCGTGTTTATTGGATGAGTAGCAAGGCTGATCTGCCACGAAGCTGTATAGATCTTGATTGTGTCGTCGTCGGATTTCGCGAAGCTGAGCTTCGTGCTTTGCTTTGTGCGTTCGACGACGGAAGGGAAGCTAGCTTGGTTAGCCGTGCAATCCTCCTTGACGGTAACCCATGGAAAATGTGCAAAGGATAAAACTGAGGTGTAAATTCGCTTTAGTATTAGCGTCCTAGGAAGAACTGATTACTAAACTTGCCTCTGGGTTGAACCAAATGCTCAAGGAACAAGTTTCTGGTTTGTACTTTTACCATCACCACCTGCTCTCACAACTGGTATCTAAACTGTGGATTTTTGATATCCGTCAAATCATCCTCATACGCATGATCGAACGCCTCCGCACCCATCCTATCCCGTTTCTTGTTCTCCCAAATACAAACATACCGATACACAACCGACAGCAGCGCAGCAATGATGCTCGTGATAACGACAATAGTGAAGCCCGGAATGTACCGGGGCGAATCTTTGGTCTTGAAGACAAGAGGGCCAACAAAATTGCCTGTACGATGTCAGCTTGAATTGTTAGCACGGAGTAAGTTGAACATACCAAGACAGTAGCCGAGGAAGATGCCAGAAGCTGTGACCGATTTCTTGGTGTACCCAGCTGTGTTTGCTGTCTGAATACCCATGAGAACGGCGTAAGCTCCACCAAAAGAGGCGAGAGTGAAGCAAGCATAAAGCAATCCTCCTCTGGCTGACCGTGGCAGGTTCCATAAAAGTAATGCCGCAAGGATAGTCCCAAACTGGCAGACGACGATGATCCAGGTGCGATTGCCTGGGTACTTGTAGGCTAGGTATGGCGCGACGATCTCAACAGTCCCAATAACTGCCCCTGCCGGCATCGTGAGAAGCAATGAGTTAAGAGTGCTATATCCGAAGTCATTGATGATAATGGGAATAAAACTCGACCTAAGGTTTAGTTAGCTTGAGGTTGTTCATGGCGAGGGTATCGTTTTCAAGCAGGCATAAGTGACTGCAACTCCGCTTCTGCTTGAATACGACCAAATCTCAGGGGTACTAACACTGGACCGTTGGCAATCATAATCAAAAAGGCCATAGCAAAGACAATCCAAAACCGAATATCCATCAGCACCTCCAAGGCCTGGTCCTTCTTGAAATGCGTGTTACGGACGCCGGCATTATTGACTCGCATACGAGCAACGGCGATGAAGCGTTCTCGCTCGTTGAGGCCTTTCATCCGAATAGGATCTGGAGGTAGGAGGAAGAGGATCACAAATGACCATATGATGGTCAGAGAACCGGCGACGAGGTACATATACTGCCAGCTGTGGAGACTGCCCTTGATGTGGCCCAATCCGAAGTTAATCAGAGGAGCGAAGATGCTAACGTATCTATTTCTTCTTGTCAACATGCATGGTCGTTACAGTGCTGGATTTATAACTCACCCTGTTGCACAATACCAAGCACCCATCCTCAGTGCTTGCTCATCCTTCTTGTAAAATCCCGCTACCACGAGCATGAACATCGGACTGACGCCAGACTCGAGAAAGCCAAGGAAGAACCGCTGAGCATAGAGAGCTTGATAATTGTGGCACGCGGCTGTGCACATAAGACAGGCACCCCAGACGAGAACAATGGCGAAAGCGACTCGTTCAATAGGGAATCGTTGAGCCATTATGATGGCAGGAGTTGCACCGACAATGAAGCCGAGGTAGAAGATGGCAGATGCGAAGGAGTAGCGGTTGCCTTTGCTCAGCTGGAGATCTACACGCAGACCGAAAATGGCCTGTCACCAAGTCAGAAACTTTCGACTGAAAGAGTCAGCTATGCTTACCGCTTGTGACAACATAGCTTTATCGTAGTATTGTAGTCCGTAGGTCAAGATCAAAAGGGGCAACAGCTTCCGATCGATCTTCCTCACAACCTTCTTCTCTTCAGCGGGCGTCCATGTCTCGTCACCATGATATGTTGCAAGGACCTTGACAGCCTCATCATTGTGAAGAGTGTCTAAAGTATCTGACTTTCTCAGCTCCTCAAACTGTGAAGGCCTTCGCTCCTCGGTAGTGTGGGCATGTTCGATGTCGGTCTTCTCAGCCATGTTCGACAGTGCAGTGCTCGCTGATTACGGGTTGACTACTTGATTGCTGGCAGGCAGTGGGGAAGCAAAACAATGGCAGATTCAGAAACAGGTCAAGCCGCAGTGGGCTGCTCTTGTACGGCTTGAGCATTGCTGTGATCCTCTCGGTAACTTACCAGCCAAGGAAAAAAATTATTGCCGCACCCGAGGTCACCTGGATACGAACCTTCGATCATTCAGCTGCATGGATTTCGTCGCGTGTTTTGTGTTTCTCGCATCGACGATTTTTGCGGGGAAGTCTATTTCGATTGGTGGTCTGGGCGGAAGAGGTATGCCAAGCCCATTTCTCTGGGGAAGTGTCAGCATTTTCGATTCAGTGACGTCCAAAAGAGGCCAATCGAAGTGCATCTCGAAGAGTGCGCCTGGAATCAAGCTTTCTTTGCAACACGAGAAGATTGGCTGGGCTGACCAAGTGGCATTCCGATGGGTTGCTGTGCGTGGGTTTTCACTCGAGCCGAATTTTATCCAACCTCGTGGTCTGGAAGCTTCTTACAAAAGCTTTAATGGTGGCTGACCAGGCCTCCGAAGGAGCCAGGTTGGTCTAGGAGATGATCGATGTTGGACGGGAAACGCATGTCACGTAACATTTCACATGATGAATTGGTCTCTGGAGAACGCGAGCGTCCAGGTAGCCCTTACGCATGGATTTTTGCGGAGAAAGGACGAAATGATATACAGGATGTTGAAGTTTGTCAGCCTCCCAAAGTGGCAAGGTATTTTTCCAAATCTGCCCCTGCCGCGGCACACACCCGGAGCTTGCTCCAACAGAAAGCGTGATGAGACATACCAGCACTACTGGAATTCCTTGTCCACTTCTTCATAATGATCGAAGAAACCTTGGTACAGCTTCACGCCCAGTCCGGGATCAAGACTGCCAGTCGTTGCTCGAATGGAGTGCATTGACAACTGCGGAATACCACAGTCGATAGCTCTAACTCCAAGCGCCGAACTAGTCATTGGTCCAATAGTTCCCCCGCTTCTGCTGTCGTTCCTGATCTGGAAGACTTGCAGCGTGCTCCCACACTTGTCAGCGACGCGCTTCAGAAGCGCTGTTGACATAGAATCTGTGGTCATATTGCCATTCGGATCAGCAGAAACGGCGACACCGATGTTCAGTCGAGGCGCGTGATTCTCGAGATATGCGTTGAGGAAGTTCGGGTTGACGGCGTGGATGACATCGGAGGACACGAGGAATGAGTTCGCAAGAACTTGTCCCTTGACGTTGGGACCCGCACTGCCCGAGGACGCGGTAGCTTCGATGATGCGTGAAATGATGCTATCCATGAAGTTGCTCCGCGCCCCCTGTCGCAGGTAGCTGCCAATCTCTTCGTCGTCAAAGCACCCAACCATCTTGATGATGCCTGGGGAGTCGGAATCTGCAGACTCGATGAGGCCCTCCACTGCAGCGAAGCAGCACAACTTGTCGTCAATACGTCCAGCAAAGATGAATTCATGATCAAGGCCACCCACTTGTGCTGGCATGACGTCGAAAAGCTCCAACTCCCAGTTAACCACCGAGCTGTAATCCTGAATGCCCAGCCTGCCACAGATGGCGTCCACGAGCTTCGGTGGCTGCGTTGCGGCGAACGTTCCAGGCTTGATCTCAATGGATGGCTTGTGCTCGCCGGTAATGTCTGAGTTGTCGATGCCGATGATGGGCACCATCTGTGTCTCCTTGTTGAATGGCCCTTGAGCAGCAGCACCAAAGTGTGGCGCAAGAGTGGGTATTCTTGCGATGGGCCATCCTAAGTTTACAAGTTGAGTCTCGATCTTGCCGCTTGATGTCCTTACCAGCACACGTCCGCCAATACCAAGATCTCGATCCCACCAGGTACTGTTCATACCACCGGCGTATGGAGCAACACCAAGCTGAATATAACCGGCTTTGTTCGCTACTTTCGACACTGGCTTGAGCTTCGCAGTCAGGGCATCGATGTGGCCAGCCACGATAGCAATGCCGTTGCCTGGCTTGTAGTCATTGCCCACGGCAAAGGCAACGAAGGAGCTGTCGTTGCGCTTTGTGTAGTACTTCCCACCCGGCTTGATGTCCCAGAGACTGCGCTCGTTCAAGTATTTGTACCCATGTTTCTCCAGTCTCTTCGTCAGTGAGTCTACAGCGTGGAATATCGTCGGGTTATCTGTCATGAAGTTGACGTAGGGCAAGGTGTAGAGGCTCGGGTCGAACTCTTTCTTGCTCGACTCGTGCTCATCGTATTGCGGCAGTGATGTGGATGATGCTGTATATGCCGAATGGGACATGTTTCGACGATCATAGCCACGAGCAACCCGATACGGAAGCTCTTCGTGAGTTGAGAAGAATCCCGATGATGTCTTCCGAACCATGTTGGCAGCGTAACACATGTAGAAAGCTCAATTAGTTCGGATCGTGACTGCGTCGATGATACTTGGTGACGCCAACGAATGCAAGATGCAGTTGCAGGAGATCTCGGTAACTTAGCTGCAGCTGCACCTGGAAGCTTCGGGCGCTAGCCGGGAAGACCCCCCGGGCAACTATAAGTGGCGTGGCGCTGATCGGCTGCGATCGGCCAACGGCCTCTATCATCCTCATGTATTGAGTCTCTTCTTCGTACTGAACTGAACGATCAACGCATGACTTTGAACTTGTCAACGGGTCCGCTCACATCTCCAGCCCCTCACCGTACACGATGACTACCTCTGTTGCCTCGAAACGTCTCTTCTCCGAATACCGCGCCCTCCTCACCTCCCCACCAGATGGCATAACCGCTGGCCCTTTAAACGAAGATGACATGCTCCTTTGGGA